TTCAAAGGCATTGCCTATTATCCTCACCAAATAAACTGAAACTAAACTGAAAGTGCTCATCACTAAAGACATCTATCTGAGGGCGACTCAAGCAATTATTGGATTCACTCAGCGACGCCGTAGTGACTGGATCAGCGGAAGAACTCTGCAGCTGTCTGTCCAGAAGGCTCGAGCTAGGCCCTTCAGCGATTCTTCCTTCCGCTAACTCTTAAAGCTGACAGCAAAGTCGGCTAGGGATGACCGGTCGAAGTATTGGTCCGAAACAGCGACTTTCATGGAGCAGGCATCAAATTTTGGTGACATTCGAAAACTTTATCAAATTTTCGACAAGTTAGTGCTAAGCCTTCGAAACTCTGTGACTGTTCACGATATGGGTGGTGGCTTTATTGCTAACAACTTGGTCAAGGTTAATCGCTGGTATGAGGACTTCGAACACCTCCCACACTTTGATGGGCAAACCGTCACACCCTCCCTCATCTCCGCAGCGAAATTTAATCTCTCTCCAGCCTATGCAGTGCCGTGCGATCTTCCTCCCGAAAAAGAAATTGCTGATGCGATGTATAGGCTGCGCAACAACAAAGCTCCTTGGCTCCGTGAGGTGATTGTAAAAGCGTGGACAGACAAGGCCGTTCCTAATGACTGGGGTTCAGGCATCCTTTTACATATCTAGGAGGGAGATAAGACAAGGGGTGAGGACTACCGCGGCAATAGTCTTCTCGACGTTGCTGTGAACATCTTCGCTATTGTTCTTCTCAGGCGATTCCAGTATGTACGCGACTTTGAGACGAAACCAAACCAAGCCAGATTCCACGGTGGATGTGGATGCGTAGACCAGATATTCGCATTGAGGCGGATCCATAGCTGCCAACGATAAACGGCTGTCTGTTTGCTGAATTTGCTGCTGCGTTCAATTCCATCCACTAGATGGTTTACCCCAAAAAATCATTGCCAGGCTCAAGAAATACTACCGTTCCAGCATTGCGCGGTTTTTGGTCCACAACAATCTTTCAGAACCATTCGCTATTTGGTCTGGCGTTCAACAAG